GTGAAAGAAAGAAAAATAAGAAAAAAGCGGAACCGTCGGCTGGAGGCTAAAGTTCTAAACTACAACGATTTCTACATACCTTTACAAAAATCGGTTCTTCTAATAGACCAATAGTGCCGACCACCGTCAGAGATCCTTCTAAACTTTCTCGAGGCACGGCACTACACTTTGGAATCCTCTCGTGAAATTCAGCTGAAGATTTTTTAGATGGAGTTCATGCAAGCTTTCAATGTGTATCGGCTCTACGCGGAAGACGATGAGATTCAAGTACTCTCGCTGCAATATGCCGACACATCATATGCCTTCAATATCTTCCTCCCTAAAACAAGGTAAAATATCCGAGTAAATCTCATGGGAAAGTGGCAAAAGGTGGATTGTCCTCTAAGGATGCACTAGGAGGAGCCGAGCAGAAGCTAGCAGTGGTTGACTCTCCTATATGGATATTCTCTTTAGCGCACACAGTCTACCCTAACCTCCCCTTTTTTGGGAAATTGTTGAAAATTGAAAGTAAAGAACTACTTAGGCAAAAACAGACTGACATGTGCCCCATAGGCTTAATATTATCAATAAAAGTAGAAAAAATGTGGATGTCCAGGATCAGCTTAACTATGGCTCTGAACTTTGCAGATTTGACTTCAGCAACATGCGGTGGAGTTTAACTGCGAAGCAAATTAAGGAGCTTCTGTCGAAATTGGACCAAACCTACATGACGGTATGGACACTTTAACTTCCCCGAATCTTTGAGAACACTGGTAATATAATATAGTCTTTATAAGTTAGTGGAGAACAGCCGTAGTCGCGGAGCAACTCGTCCAGAGTTTGCTGCGCGGTGTTGGAATCTTTGAATCTTCCTCAAGGATTGTGCCTCACGTTGCTCTGGCAACCATATCACTTCCAAATGTTTTCAGATCATGATCCCAAAGATGAAGATTGAAACGAACCTCAAACTCAAAGAGATTCTTCCCTCGATGGGTATCTCGAACATATTCAACCATCATGCCGATCTGAGTGGAATTACCGAAACACCTCCATTACAAATCTCTGAAGTCACTCATGATGCGATTATTGAGGTAAACTACTCGGAGTCCACCCTAACCTTTTGAGGGCCTAGATTTCTTTAGCTTATGGATCATATTGCAGGTTGATGAGGATGGTACGACGGCA